CTCTGAATTAAAGTTGTTAACTAAGAATTTAAACATTAGCAGTTACCTGTTTCTGATCTTATTTACTAGGTAGAAAAGAAGCTGAGGATTCATTTGAACACATGCAAGAAGTCTAGGTTCTTTGTGTATCATTTATACTAAAGAGCAAAGAAATAAGAAAGAAAAATTCTGCAAGCAAAGAACCAAGGTATCAAAGAGATCAAATCAGGTTAACAGCAACTCTCTTGTTAGAATTATATACTTACATCCTGCAAAAATAACTGTTCCATATATGTAATCTTCTGTTGTGAAAATCACATTTGTTCCACTATTTTCAGAAACAGAAATATTATGGATTTTGATGGCAACATTTTCTCCATCAAGATGGATAAGGGGACAATTTTTACTGCCAATCTGTGCCAATAACACTTTTTCTTGACTTATACAACAAAATGTTATATCTGAGCCTACAAGTACTACGTTGTCTTGAGGAAAAACCTTGGTCTGAGAATCAGGAGTCCCTAGAAAGAACAAAAAGAATTATAAATAAATATTTTAGAAGTGTTCTACAAAAAATATTCGCTGTAATAAGCCCTTTTTTCCCCAAGATGACCTATAAAATAATCCAGCATATACAAAACATACTGTTTGGTGTTTTGAGACAACAGGGGCCGAAATATGAGGTATATTCCTCACGTCCCAAAGAAGCAAGGTACATATAAGAAATAAAATAAAACTGTGTATAATTTATTCACTGAAAAGGGTAATGCTGGGAGGAAAAGGGCCTACAGTTACAGGGTAATGCTTCGTAAGTCTAAGGTTCAAATTCAGTGGGTTTAAATACATGAAGACAAATGCACACCAAGAGAGGCTGTGGTGAGAAGACTGCAAGTTTGAGTCTGACCTGGGCAATTCACTGAGACCCTGTCTCAAAAACCAAAAAAACAAAAAACCCTCAACCCTGCAGATTTGATCCATACGCCACCAGCCCCCCACTATTACACATACTAAATAGGATATTTCATGACCTCTGTTCTTTGCACCTCCCACCCACCTCTTCATTGCAGTCTGGCTTCTACCCATACCATTCTACTACGCTCAATCCAGTGGTCCCTTCTTGGTCACCATTCCTTTGCTTTCTACTGTACTTAGGATGCTGTTTAAAGCTTTCCTCCTCAGAACTCACTTCTTTTTGGGTTCCACAACACTAGACTTTCCTGGGCTGTTAGTCCTCTGACTACTGGCCTTCCCTCTCTCCTATTCCTTAGGAGATATACATGCTCCTAAGGAATGTGCCCTCGGTCTACACTCCCCTTCCAAACTCATGTTAACCTTCAGGATTTAAAAATCTCACATCACATATACCACTCATCTCAACTAGGCCTATTCAGTTGTACCTGCTCACACCTGGACGCCAAACTTACATTTCCAAGTGCCTGTGTGGCTATGCTATCTAAACTCTTCAGTGCCTAAAGCCCAATGATCAAAAACAAATGTTTTCTTTCCCATACAACTTGTTCATACCTTTGTTAGTGTCACTAACCATTCAGCTGCCCACAATAACAGGCACCTTTGGCTCTATTTCTCTCTTGCCAATGGTGTTTTCACATCTTTCCTCCCTTTTCATTTCTAAACCCAAGTATCCTAGCTTACATTTTCACTGACTTTTGCTCAATAGACACAGATTCTTATTTACCTACTTGCTTCCAGCTCTCGCTTGCTCTGATCATTTCTGCACGCTGTCACTAGACCAACTGCCAGTGTTTTTTAGGACATTCTATTGGCAATGTTCTTCTTAACCCTCCTCTACACTGACAGCATTCTTCTTGGATATAAGTTTTGTTTAGTGGACAGATGATTTTTTTGGGTATGTTTAGAGACTTCCATATTCTCTACAATAACTATACGCCTTTAAGTGCTGCCTGCTGTGGCCCAGAAGTTGGGAACTATTTTCTTAAAGTATATCAATTTGATCTCATTTCCAACATCGCATTTTTATATTACTCTTCAGTGCCTATTGTAATGATTTTCATATCGGGATGTTTATCAGCTACTCAGGAAGTCTTTGAAAGTACAGACTCCTGAAGTCCATCTCAGACTTCTTTAATCTAAAGCTCCTGGGATGGCAGAGTTGGAAGCCCCCATGTGGTCGTCATATAGCTCCTGAGATTTCAGAGAACAGAGTGTACACTAAACACTTTTCAGCTCTCCAGTTCATTTGAAACAAAAATTCTTTAAATACAGCTTACAAGAAATGTTCTTCACTGGGCTCCAGTTACTCCACTCTTTGTGACCAGAGAAATGAAGAGAGTCAATATAGCACCTAATTCTCACGTGATGAATGGCACACTCCAAGGGCATGTCTGAGGCCCAACTCCAGTGATGGACTGTATCTCTGCCATTCAGAGTGGTGTTGAAAGTCACCTAAAAAAAAGGCAAAATAAAGTTATATTTCCAAATAGTGATATGCTCCGTTTTCTCTTAAGATCATAAAACCACAAAGGACCATATCACCAAGTAAGCACAAATAAATAAGTAAATGGTCTATTCTTTTGTAAAACTATCTCGGTTTTTTTATAAGGCACATCAGAAAAGTTAGAGTAACAATCATTACACAACTATGTTCACTTCTTAAATGGAAAGCCCTACTGCATTACCATCTAGGATATTGATATTCATTAAAATGATACTACCTAAAAGATCTTCATGTTTTCATGGAGGGAAAATAGTTAATGGGTTTGTATCTCTAAAGTCGAAGAGGGGGCTGGGGATTTAGCTCAGCGGCAAAAGCG